TATCATTATGCTTATCATTATCATTATTATTAGTAGTAGCATCATCATCATAATGATCATCAATCATCGTGATTATCATTACTATCATCATTTTTCTTATCACTGTTACCATTGTTGTTGTTACTTTTGTCATTATCACTATCATCATTATAATCATAGTAACTATTATTATTTTATTGATATTGATATTGCTCTTATCGTTATCAGTATCACTATACAGTCCTTGGTATCACTTTCATTATCATTATTACTACAATTGTTAGTGTCATCATCCTTGTTATTATCAATACTATTAGTATTATCATCATTCTTATCATTGTTATTATTATTACTCCAACCAGCATTATCATTATTATCCTCATTATTATTGTTATTATGAACATTATCATTATTATCATCATTATCATTCTACTATTATGATCATTATTAATATCATAATTACTCCTATCATTAATTATTATTGCCATTATCATTAGTATCATCATAAGCATTATTTTCATTACTATTATGATTATCAACATTATCATTATTATTATCATTATTATTATTGTATTGTTTTAATACTATTGTTGTTATTACCCTAGCTATCATCATCATTATCATCCTTATTATCGTTATTGGTATGTTCATTATCATCATTATTATTATTATCGTTTTCGCTATTACTATTATTATCATTTTTACTCTTATTATCAGTATTATTATCTTTATAATCATCATTTCTACCATAATCGTTTTCATTACCAATATCAGTACCATCACCATTATCATAACCATTAGCATTACAGTTATCATTATCATTATCTGTATCTACATCTACATCATCATTATCATCACTTTTATTAACATAATTATTATTATCATTATCATAATCATCATTATCATTATCATAATTATCATTATCATTATCAGTAGTATCATTATCATTAGTACCATTACTTTCATCATAATTTTCATAATAATGCCAGTGCTGCTAATAATGACGATGATGATGATGATGATAATGATGATCTTGATAATGATAATACTTGTGACAATAATAATAACAGTGATGATAATTTCTATGATATCAATAACAATAATAATAATAATGATAATGATAATGATAATAATAATCATAATGATAATGATGGTAAATATGATAATAACAATAAAAATGAAAATGAAAATAAGAATAAGAATAATAACAATGATAATGATTAACATAATGCTAATAATAATAATAATATTAAAAGTAATGTTAACAATGATTAAATAATAATAGCAATAATGATATCAACAAGGATAATAATAAGAATAAGAATAAGAATAAGAATAATATTGATAACAATATTAATATTAATTATAACATCAATAATTATAATACAAACAGTAACAATAATAATGAAGATGCTGCTGCTGATTATGATGGTTATAATAATAACAATAATAGTAATAATAATAGTAATAACGCAATACTCATAATATTGATGATAATGATAAGAATATTCATATCAGTATTGATATCACTGCTATCATCATTATCATCATCAATATTATAATATAATAGTCATTATGGGTAAGCTAAAGACATAAATGGAAAGGACATTTAAAACTAATAATCTATTAAAAGTAAAAAATATATAAATAAATAAAATAATAATAAAAATAATAATAAACACAATGATAATGTTATTATTAATAATAACAATAATAATAATAATAAATGATAATATATAATAAATAATAATAATAATAATAATTAATAATAATAATAATAATATTAATAATAATAATAATGATGATAATAGATAATGATAATAATAATAATAATACCACTACCAAGGCAAGGTCGTGGAATAAAAGCCAGTATCCAGCCTTAATGTAGGTTTTCCATTATCTTAATCCTTGTCCTTATCCAAGGCGAGCCTCGTTAAAGGTCGTGAGAGGTCGTCGGATGAAAGGAAGAGCTTACACAATCCGAGAGGTGGCGTCTTGGTGGTGGTGTTGGTGTTGGTGTTGGTGGTGTTGGTGTTGTTGGTGGTGTTAGTGTTTGTTGTTGGTGGTGGTGTGTTGTTGTTCTTGTTGTGTGGTTGGTTGGTAGTGGTGTTGGTTGTTGGTGTGGTGGTGTGGTGGGTGGTGGTGGTGGTTGGTGGTGGTGGTGGTGGTGTGGTGGTGGTGTGGTGGTGGTGGTGTGGTGTGGTGGTGGTGGTGGTGGTGGTGGTGGTGGTGGTGGTGGTGTTGGTTGTGGTGGTGTTTTTGGTGGTGGTGGTGGTGGTGGTGGTGGTGGTGGTGGTGTGTGGTGGTTGGTGGTGGTGGTGGTGGTGGTGGTTGTGGTGGTGTTGTTGATGTTGTTGTTGTTGGTGGTGGTGGTGGTGGTGTGGTGAAGGTGTTGTTGTTGTGTTGTTGGTTGTTGTGGTGGTGGTGGTTGTGTTTGGTGTTGGTGGTGTGGTGGGTGTTGGGCTGTTGTTGGTGGTTGTGGTTGGTATGTTGGTGGTGGTGGTGGTGGTGGTGCGTGTGTTGTTGTTGTTGTTGTAGTTGGTGGTGGTGGTGGTGGTGATTGGTGGTGGCGGTGATGGTGAAGTTGTTGTTGTTGTTGCTGTTGCTGTTGTTGTTGTTGTTGTTGTTGCTGCTGCTGTTGTTGTTGTTGTTGTTATTGTTTGTTGTGGTTGTGTTGTTGTTGTTGTTTGTTGTTGTTGTTGCTGCTGTTGTTGTTGTTAATGGTGGTGGTGTTCGTGTTGGTGGTAATGGTGTAGTTGGCGGGGTTACTGGTGGTGGTGTAACTAATGGTGTTATTGCCACTGCTGGAGGTGTTACTTTTGTTTTACATCAGGCTAAGAACTCCCCGGCTCTCCACGGCTTATGCGAGGGGATTGCGGGTTTCTGGAACATGGATTTTTTTTCTCTCTCTATCTTTTTCTTTCTTTCTTTTTTTTTACGCTCACTGGAATTCACGTATTTAAGGTGTATGTGGAAATATTTATCAATGACTTGAACATTTTCATTAAAAGAAAAAAAAAGCACCAAACATATTTAGTCCATCTAACAACGCAGTATATCACCACATATCTTCGGAGCAAAAAATAATAAATCAATTAATTAAATAAAATAATAATAATAGTAATTAGATAAAACTTAAAAATAACCAATTAAAACAGAGAGCAGAATCTATCTCATTCAAATCCTGCTCAGACATGCAGCGGGCGTGCAGGTTGCAGCCGAGGTCACTCCCGCAAAGGATGAGTCAACGAAAGCAACGCTCCGGGAAGACGGCGCACTAACCTCCTTCTCGAGTGACGCGCCCGCGGATGAATACACAAATAACCGCTCGCTGCCGATTCAAATTCAGATCAGAGGCGCGCGCTTTAATGAATGGAATGACGTCAGAACAATTAGGTTAAGCCGTTAAAGGAGGAAAAATTCATTCAGTTTCATGTGTTCAGTCTGTC